TTTAAACAGAACCCTGAGACTATCAAAGAGCAGGTGCATTTATACGGAGACTTGATTACACACAGGTGCATTCTATTTATCATCATCAGTCATTTAGGACAACATTGGATCATTCAAAGATCCTCACTGAACTTCTGGAGTGAGTTTGCTGCACTGAAAGTATAGGGGCCGAATAATATTGCACGTTTTCAGTTTTTTATTTGTTAAAAAAGTTTAAATTATCCAATACATTTCATTCCACTTCACGACTGTGTCCCACTTGTTGTTGATTCATGACAAAAAATTAAAATTTTATATCTTTATGTTTGAAGACTGAAATGTGGCAAAATGTTGAAAGGTTCAAGGGGGCCGAATACTTTCGCAAGGCACTGTAAATGTCAAGAATAATTAGATGGGATTTTTAGGGAAAGGGCTCCAGGAGCATTTGTCAGATCGAGATTGAAATGGATTGAAGAAGGGGAAAAAAGAGCAAATATTTTTTTAGTATTGAAAAAAGAAACTACATTCATTGAAACATGTAAAAAAAAGCAAATGAGACTCTTAAAGAAGATTGTGATGAATCCCTTTCTGTAGACGAAATAAGAAGCGCGATCAAACATTTAAAACCAAATAAGTCGCCAGGGAACGATGGGCTAACTTCAGAATTTTATCATCAACTTTCACTTGAAATTTCTGAATTTCTTCTTGCAGTTTACAATGAATCTATTCACAATGAAGAGTTACCTACTTCAATGAAACAAGGTCTCATAACTTTAATACCAAAGCCACATAAAGACCCATTGATTATTGATAATTGGCGAGGTAATACATTACTCAATAATGATTATAAAATTTTGCATCCATTTTGGCTAAAAGATTAAAATGTGGTTTAAACAATATTATTCATGAGTCTCAAAATGGATTCATGCCCGGGAGGCAAATGGCGGATAATGTAAGATTAGTGTTAGATCTTGTTCACTATAGGGACTTATTGCCAGGTGATCCTTTGATTCTTTTTTTAGATTACCAAAAGGCTTTTGACACTATAAGTCATGCATTTATTTTATTACATTTTCTACATTTTGGAAATTTCTTCATCAAAGCTCTTAAGACTCTTTATCGGAATAACAACAGTGCTGTGAAATTGCTCTTTGGTACATCTTTGATACAGATTTGATTTCAACAAAGGTGTAAGACAAGGTTGTGCAGTTTCACCATATATTTTTTAACTTGTGGGACAGATTTTGAATTATTTGATTTGACAAAGCTCCTTTCAAGGGATTAAGGTTTTTGAGCAAGAAATTAAAATATCTCAATTAGCTGATGATACAACTATATTTCTTAAAAATGCTGAAGAAGTCCAATTAACCTTGTCCATAATATCTACATTTGCAAACATTTCTGGGCTAAAACTTAATTTAAAAAATGTGTCATTTTAACTCTATATAATACTAATATTACAGATATATGCAACATCCCTGTGAAGGATACAGTGACTTATTTAGGTATAAAAATATCTAAGGAGAGTAGAAATATGACAGAAAATGTTTCATCTGTAACTGATACAGAAGAAATGTAATTGCTGGCTGGGAAGAGATCTTTCTATTAATGGTCGAGTTTTGTTAAGCAAGGGAGAAGGAACGTCCAGAGCCTCTTACATGTTCTCAACACTAGATGTCTCCAAATCACTCTGCTCTAATCTTGATAAAATCTTATTCAAATTCCTTTGAAAAAACAAAGCTCATAAAATAAAACAAATTGTTCTCACCAATCCTTTTGCTGAAGGTGGATTGAATGTCTTAACTTTCACTGTTTTGAATCAGATTTTAAAAATTAATTTGATAAAACGATTTCCAAAAAATCCAAATTGTTTATGGAATATCTTCCCAAATTATTTTTTTGGAAAGTTTCACCAACAGGTTTTATTGTACTGGTCTTTACTTTACAAACACAACTCCTCACCTCACAGTTGTATTTTATGGAACAATGCTTACATCGAGCATTGAAGAAAATCCTTATATTTAGAGAACTGGTTTGACAAGAATATAAATACTGTGAAACAACTTTTAGATGATAATGGTGATTTTTAGGATTATAATGTTTTTATAGAGAAGTATGATGCTCCAATACCTGAGCATGAGTTTGATGTGGTTGTAAAGTCGATATAAGTATAAGATCATTAGCACAAAGTATTCATTTTATTGACTCACATTTCGCTGACGTTTCCATTTTAGGTGAAAGCTTACAAGATAAGAAGTGCACGAACAAATATATTAGGGATAGTCTTATACAATTGGCCAATCCAGTTTGTAAACATAGGTGAACATTTTAGCCGAAAATATTGGAATCAGGTATTTTTGTTGCCCTACAAATATATAATCACAAACAAAGTCAAGGAATGTTTATTTAAAATTGTACACAGATATTACCCTGTAAAAGATAATATTTGTTGTTTTTTACCTAATGTAAGGAACCAATGTTCCTTATGTCAATGTGATGGTGAAAGTATTGAACACTTATTTGTTGAATGTCCTATAATAGTTAGATTTCGGTCCAATGCGCAACATTATTTGGCTGGAATATTCCATAAAAGTGTTATTATTTCCAAATTTCAAATTTTACTAATATTCAATGATCAAAAATTCTCCTCTTATGAAATCTATATTTTAAATCTTATACTGATTTTAGGACTGCATCCATAAAACTAAATTCATTGAAAAAATACCTTCCTTTGCTGGCGGGGTCTAGTGGTCAAGAAGAGCGGCCGACCAGCACTGATTCTTCCTTCGCATGTCGTTTCTGTAGTGTAGTGGTCATCACGTTCGCCTAACACGCGAAAGGTCCTCGGTTCGAAACCGAGCAGAAACATTGAGTGTATCTGGATGGCAAAACCATGGTTCGAAGGCTTCAGTGTTATTGCGCAACTCAAGACGCTTTAAAGCGTCCGTCTGGGGATGTGAACGTCACTTTATGGGCACCCTTTATTCATCGGCTATGCTTTGAGCTGGGGATCAGCACGAATTCTTTGCCTGCTCGTAGTTTCTGTAGTGTAGTGGTCATCACGTTCGCCTTACACGCGAAAGGTCCTCGGTTCGAAACCGAGCAGAAACAGTGAGTGTATCTGACTGTGTTTCGAAAGCTTCAGTGTTGTTCCGAGCGCAGTTCCTGAATTGCGCACCTCAAGACTGGAGCTTGCATTTCTGGTGATGCAGGGATTACATTTACAGGCGCACTTTATTCTTGGGCTATACTTTGAGCTGCAGAAAAGCACAAATTCTTTGCCCGTCTATGGTTTCTGTAGTGTAGTGGTCATCACGTTCGCCTCACACGCGAAAGGTCCTCGGTTCGAAACCGAGCAGAAACACTGGCTTTTCCCTGTCCGACCATCATAAACCCGCTTTAATGCTAAAGACTACTCTGCGCTTTAGTGCTAAATACTTCAGTCTTGTGCTGCGCCTCATACTTGTGATAGTGAGAAAGTGTAGCTTGCTCTTATCCTTAGTCAAAGATAGATCGATCGATCGAGCGAGCGAACGAACAATAAAATGATTGGGAGTTTTATGGGACAGCCCGAGCCGCTTAATGCTTTTTCAGCAAGCCCGAGTGCTTTATTGCTTCAGCACGGCGTTACAGGGTTGTGCATGACACTCATGAGCACCCTTCATGCTTGAGCTAAGCTTTGAGCCGAGGACCAACAAAAATCCTCCACTTTTCGTCTTGATCAGTGCTGATTGCTAGTCATCTGCTCCTCGTTAGTATAGTGGACAGTATCTCCGCCTGTCACGCGGAAGACCGGGGTTCGATTCCCCGACGGGGAGTACCTCTTTGGCGGCTCGTCCTTCCTGAGGACAACGAGTCATTCGGATGAGGCTTGGGAAAGAGCGTTGCCTATTCTCCTCGAACCCGGACAGGCTGGTGTTATGCATACCTCCTATGCGGGGTCTAGTGGTCAAGAAGAGCGGCCGACCAGCACTGATTCTTCCTTCGCATGTCGTTTCTGTAGTGTAGTGGTCATCACATTCGCCTAACACGCGAAAGGTCCTCGGTTCGAAACCGAGCAGAAACATGGAGTGTATCTGATGGCAAAACCATGGTTCGAAGGCTTCAGTGTTATTGCGCAACTCAAGACTGGAGCTTGCAGTTCCGTCAAGCTCCAGTGCTTTAAAGCGTCCGTCTGGGGATGTGAACGTCACTTTATGGGCACCCTTTATTCATCGGCTATGCTTTGAGCTGGGGATCAGCACGAATTCTTTGCCTGCTCGTAGTTTCTGTAGTGTAGTGGTCATCACGTTCGCCTTACACGCGAAAGGTCCTCGGTTCGAAACCGAGCAGAAACAGTGAGTGTATCTGACTGTGTTTCGAAAGCTTCAGTGTTGTTCCGAGCGCAGTTCCTGAATTGCGCACCTCAAGACTGGAGCTTGCGTTTCTGGTGATGCAGGGATTTCATTTACAGGCGCACTTTATTCTTGGGCTATACTTTGAGCTGCAGAAAAGCACAAATTCTTCGCCCGTCTATGGTTTCTGTAGTGTAGTGGTCATCACGTTCGCCTCACACGCGAAAGGTCCTCGGTTCGAAACCGAGCAGAAACACTGGCTTTTCCCTGTCCGACCATCATAAACCCGCTTTAATGCTAAAGACTACTCTGCGCTTTAGTGCTAAATACTTCAGTCTTGTGCTGCGCCTCATACTTGTGATAGTGAGAAAGTGTAGCTTGCTCTTATCCTTAGTCAAAGATAGATCGATCGATCGAGCGAGCGAACGAACAATAAAATGATTGGGAGTTTTATGGGACAGCCCGAGCCGCTTAATGCTTTTTCAGCAAGCCCGAGTGCTTTATTGCTTCAGCACGGCGTTACAGGGTTGTGCATGACACTCATGAGCACCCTTCATGCTTGAGCTAAGCTTTGAGCCGAGGACCAACAAAAATCCTCCACTTTTCGTCTTGATCAGTGCTGATTGTCATTCTCCTCGAACCCGGACAGGCTGGTGTTACGCATACCTCCTATGCGGGGTCTAGTGGTCAAGAAGAGCGGCCGACCAGCACTGATTCTTCCTTCGCATGTCGTTTCTGTAGTGTAGTGGTCATCACGTTCGCCTAACACGCGAAAGGTCCTCGGTTCGAAACCGAGCAGAAACATTGAGTGTATCTGATGGCAAAACCATGGTTCGAAGGCTTCAGTGTTCCTGAATTGCGCACATCAAGACTGGAGCTTGCATTTCTGGTGATGCAGGGATTTCATTTACAGGCGCACTTTATTCTTGGGCTATACTTTGAGCTGCAGAAAAGCACAAATTCTTTGCCCGTCTATGGTTTCTGTAGTGTAGTGGTCATCACGTTCGCCTCACACGCGAAAGTTCCTCGGTTCGAAACCGAGCAGAAACACTGGCTTTTCCCTGTCCGACCATCATAAACCCGCTTTAATGCTAAAGACTACTCTGCGCTTTAGTGCTAAATACTTCAGTCTTGTGCTGCGCCTCATACTTGTGATAGTGAGAAAGTGTAGCTTGCTCTTATCCTTAGTCAAAGATAGATCGATCGATCGAGCGAGCGAACGAACAATAAAATGATTGGGAGTTTTATGGGACAGCCCGAGCCGCTTAATGCTTTTTCAGCAAGCCCGAGTGCTTTATTGCTTCAGCACGGCGTTACAGGGTTGTGCATGACACTCATGAGCACCCTTCATGCTTGAGCTAAGCTTTGAGCCGAGGACCAACAAAAATCCTCCACTTTTCGTCTTGATCAGTGCTGATTGCTAGTCATCTGCTCCTCGTTAGTATAGTGGACAGTATCTCCGCCTGTCACGCGGAAGACCGGGGTTCGATTTCCCGACGGGGAGTACCTCTTTGGCGGCTCGTCCTTCCTGAGGACAACGAGTCATTCGGATGAGGCTTGGGAAAGAGCGTTGCCTATTCTCCTCGAACCCGGACAGGCTGGTGTTATGCATACCTCCTATGCGGGGTCTAGTGGTCAAGAAGAGCGGCCGACCAGCACTGATACTTCCTTCGCATGTCGTTTCTGTAGTGTAGTGGTCATCACGTTCGCCTAACACGCGAAAGGTCCTCGGTTCGAAACCGAGCAGAAACATGGAGTGTATCTGATGGCAAAACCATGGTTCGAAGGCTTCAGTGTTATTGCGCAACTCAAGACTGGAGCTTGCAGTTCCGTCAAGCTCCAGTGCTTTAAAGCGTCCGTCTGAGGATGTGAACGTCACTTTATGGGCACCCTTTATTCATCGGCTATGCTTTGAGCTGGGGATCAGCACAAATTCTTTGCCTGCTCGTAGTTTCTGTAGTGTAGTGGTCATCACGTTCGCCTTACACGCGAAAGGTCCTCGGTTCGAAACCGAGCAGAAACAGTGAGTGTATCTGACTGTGTTTCGAAAGCTTCAGTGTTGTTCCGAGCGCAGTTCCTGAATTGCGCACCTCAAGACTGGAGCTTGCGTTTCTGGTGATGCAGGGATTTCATTTACAGGCGCACTTTATTCTTGGGCTATACTTTGAGCTGCAGAAAAGCACAAATGCTTTGCCCGTCGATGGTTTCTGTAGTGTAGTGGTCATCACGTTCGCCTCACACGCGAAAGGTCCTCGGTTCGAAACCGAGCAGAAACACTGGCTTTTCCCTGTCCGACCATCATAAACCCGCTTTAATGCTAAAGACTACTCTGCGCTTTAGTGCTAAATACTTCAGTCTTGTGCTGCGCCTCATACTTGTGATAGTGAGAAAGTGTAGCTTGCTCTTATCCTTAGTCAAAGATAGATCGATCGAGCGAGCGAACGAACAATAAAATGATTGGGAGTTTTATGGGACAGCCCGAGCCGCTTAATGCTTTTTCAGCAAGCCCGAGTGCTTTATTGCTTCAGCACGGCGTTACAGGGTTTGTGCATGACACTCATGAGCACCCTTCATGCTTGAGCTAAGCTTTGAGCCGAGGACCAACAAAAATCCTCCACTTTTCGTCTTGATCAGTGCTGATTGCTAGTCATCTGCTCCTCGTTAGTATAGTGGACAGTATCTCCGCCTGTCACGCGGAAGACCGGGGTTCGATTCCCCGACGGGGAGTACCTCTTTGGCGGCTCGTCCTTCCTGAGGACAACGAGTCTTTCGGATGAGGCTTGGGAAAGAGCGTTGCCTATTCTCCTCGAACCCGGACAGGCTGGTGTTATGCATACCTCCTATGCGGGGTCTAGTGGTCAAGAAGAGCGGCCGACCAGCACTGATTCTTCCTTCGCATGTCGTTTCTGTAGTGTAGTGGTCATCACATTCGCCTAACACGCGAAAGGTCCTCGGTTCGAAACCGAGCAGAAACATGGAGTGTATCTGATGGCAAAACCATGGTTCGAAGGCTTCAGTGTTATTGCGCAACTCAAGACTGGAGCTTGCAGTTCCGTCAAGCTCCAGTGCTTTAAAGCGTCCGTCTGGGGATGTGAACGTCACTTTATGGGCACCCTTTATTCATCGGCTATGCTTTGAGCTGGGGATCAGTACGAATTCTTTGCCTGCTCGTAGTTTCTGTAGTGTAGTGGTCATCACGTTCGCCTTACACGCGAAAGGTCCTCGGTTCGAAACCGAGCAGAAACAGTGAGTGTATCTGACTGTGTTTCGAAAGCTTCAGTGTTGTTCCGAGCGCAGTTCCTGAATTGCGCACCTCAAGACTGGAGCTTGCGTTTCTGGTGATGCAGGGATTTCATTTACAGGCGCGCTTTATTCTTGGGCTATACTTTGAGCTGCAGAAAAGCACAAATGCTTTGCCCGTCGATGGTTTCTGTAGTGTAGTGGTCATCACGTTCGCCTCACACGCGAAAGGTCCTCGGTTCGAAACCGAGCAGAAACACTGGCTTTTCCCTGTCCGACCATCATAAACCCGCTTTAATGCTAAAGACTACTCTGCGCTTTAGTGCTAAATACTTCAGTCTTGTGCTGCGCCTCATACTTGTGATAGTGAGAAAGTGTAGCTTGCTCTTATCCTTAGTCAAAGATAGATCGATCGATCGAGCGAGCGAACGAACAATAAAATGATTGGGAGTTTTATGGGACAGCCCGAGCCGCTTAATGCTTTTTCAGCAAGCCCGAGTGCTTTATTGCTTCAGCACGGCGTTACAGGGTTGTGCATGACACTCATGAGCACCCTTCATGCTTGAGCTAAGCTTTGAGCCGAGGACCAACAAAAATCCTCCACTTTTCGTCTTGATCAGTGCTGATTGTCATTCTCCTCGAACCCGGACAGGCTGGTGTTATGCATACCTCCTATGCGGGGTCTAGTGGTCAAGAAGAGCGGCCGACCAGCACTGATTCTTCCTTTGCATGTCGTTTCTGTAGTGTAGTGGTCATCACGTTCGCCTAACACGCGAAAGGTCCTCGGTTCGAAACCGAGCAGAAACATGGAGTGTATCTGATGGCAAAACCATGGTTCGAAGGCTTCAGTGTTATTGCGCAACTCAAGACTGGAGCTTGCAGTTCCGTCAAGCTCCAGTGCTTTAAAGCGTCCGTCTGGGGATGTGAACGTCACTTTATGGGCACCCTTTATTCATAGGCTATGCTTTGAGCTGGGGATCAGCACAAATTCTTTGCCTGCTCGTAGTTTCTGTAGTGTAGTGGTCATCACGTTCGCCTAACACGCGAAAGGTCCTCGGTTCGAAACCGAGCAGAAACATTGAGTGTATCTGATGGCAAAACCATGGTTCGAAGGCTTCAGAGTTCCTGAATTGCGCACCTCAAGACTGGAGCTTGCATTTCTGGTGATGCAGGGATTACATTTACAGGCGCACTTTATTCTTGGGCTATACTTTGAGCTGCAGAAAAGCACAAATTCTTTGCCCGTCTATGGTTTCTGTAGTGTAGTGGTCATCACGTTCGCCTCACACGCGAAAGGTCCTTGGTTCGAAACCGAGCAGAAACACTGGCTTTTCCCTGTCCGACCATCATAAACCCGCTTTAATGCTAAAGACTACTCTGCGCTTTAGTGCTAAATACTTCAGTCTTGTGCTGCGCCTCATACTTATGATAGTGAGAAAGTGTAGCTTGCTCTTATCCTTAGTCAAAGATAGATCGATCGATCGAGCGAGCGAACGAACAATAAAATGATTGGGAGTTTTATGGGACAGCCCGAGCCGCTTAATGCTTTTTCAGCAAGCGCGAGTGCTTTATTGCTTCAGCACGGCGTTACAGGGTTGTGCATGACACTCATGAGCCCCCTTCATGCTTGAGCTAAACTTTGAGCCGAGGACCAACAAAAATCCTCCACTTATCGTATTGATCAGTGCTGATTGCTAGTCATCTGCTCCTCGTTAGTATAGTGGACAGTATCTCCGCCTGTCATGTTCGATTCCCCGACGGGGAGTACCTCTTTGGCGGCTCGTCCTTCCTGAGGACAACGAGTCATTCGGATGAGGCTTGGGAAAGAGCGTTGCCTATTCTCCTCGAACCCGGACAGGCTGGTGTTATGCATACCTCCTATGCGGGGTCTAGTGGTCAAGAAGAGCGGCCGACCAGCACTGATTCTTCCTTCGCATGTCGTTTCTGTAGTGTAGTGGTCATCACATTCGCCTAACACGCAAAAGGTCCTCGGTTCGAAACCGAGCAGAAACATGGAGTGTATCTGATGGCAAAACCATGGTTCGAAGGCTTCAGTGTTATTGCGCAACTCAAGACTGGAGCTTGCAGTTCCGTCAAGCTCCAGTGCTTTAAAGCGTCCGTCTGGGGATGTGAACGTCACTTTATGGGCACCCTTTATTCATCGGCTATGCTTTGAGCTGGGGATCAGTACGAATTCTTTGCCTGCTCGTAGTTTCTGTAGTGTAGTGGTCATCACGTTCGCCTCACACGCGAAAGGTCCTCGGTTCGAAACCGAGCAGAAACACTGGCTTTTCCCTGTCCGACCATCATAAACCCGCTTTAATGCTAAAGACTACTCTGCGCTTTAGTGCTAAATACTTCAGTCTTGTGCTGCGCCTCATACTTGTGATAGTGAGAAAGTGTAGCTTGCTCTTATCCTTAGTCAAAGATAGATCGATCGATCGAGCGAGCGAACGAACAATAAAATGATTGGGAGTTTTATGGGACAGCCCGAGCCGCTTAATGCTTTTTCAGCAAGCCCGAGTGCTTTATTGCTTCAGCACGGCGTTACAGGGTTGTGCATGACACTCATGAGCACCCTTCATGCTTGAGCTAAGCTTTGAGCCAAGGACCAACAAAAATCCTCCACTTTTCGTCTTGATCAGTGCTGATTGTCATTCTCCTCGAACCCGGACAGGCTGGTGTTATGCATACCTCCTATGCGGGGTCTAGTGGTCAAGAAGAGCGGCCGACCAGCACTGATTCTTCCTTTGCATGTCGTTTCTGTAGTGTAGTGGTCATCACGTTCGCCTAACACGCGAAAGGTCCTCGGTTCGAAACCGAGCAGAAACATGGAGTGTATCTGATGGCAAAACCATGGTTCGAAGGCTTCAGTGTTATTGCGCAACTCAAGACTGAAGCTTGCAGTTCCGTCAAGCTCCAGTGCTTTAAAGCGTCCGTCTGGGGATGTGAACGTCACTTTATGGGCACCCTTTATTCATCGGCTATGCTTTGAGCTGGGGATCAGCACAAATTCTTTGCCTGCTCGTAGTTTCTGTAGTGTAGTGGTCATCACGTTCGCCTTACACGCGAAAGGTCCTCGGTTCGAAACCGAGCAGAAACAGTGAGTGTATCTGACTGTGTTTCGAAAGCTTCAGTGTTGTTCCGAGCGCAGTTCCTGAATTGCGCACCTCAAGACTGGAGCTTGCGTTTCTGGTGATGCAGGGATTTCATTTACAGGCGCGCTTTATTCTTGGGCTATACTTTGAGCTGCAGAAAAGCACAAATTCTTTGCCCGTCTATGGTTTCTGTAGTGTAGTGGTCATCACGTTCGCCTCACACGCGAAAGGTCCTCGGTTCGAAACCGAGCAGAAACACTGGCTTTTCCCTGTCCGACCATCATAAACCCGCTTTAATGCTAAAGACTACTCTGCGCTTTAGTGCTAAATACTTCAGTCTTGTGCTGCGCCTCATACTTGTGATAGTGAGAAAGTGTAGCTTGCTCTTATCCTTAGTCAAAGATAGATCGATCGATCGAGCGAGCGAACGAACAATAAAATGATTGGGAGTTTTATGGGACAGCCCGAGCCGCTTAATGCTTTTTCAGCAAGCGCGAGTGCTTTATTGCTTCAGCACGGCGTTACAGGGTTGTGCATGACACTCATGAGCCCCCTTCATGCTTGAGCTAAACTTTGAGCCGAGGACCAACAAAAATCCTCCACTTATCGTATTGATCAGTGCTGATTGCTAGTCATCTGCTCCTCGTTAGTATAGTGGACAGTATCTCCGCCTGTCATGTTCGATTCCCCGACGGGGAGTACCTCTTTGGCGGCTCGTCCTTCCTGAGGACAACGAGTCATTCGGATGAGGCTTGGGAAAGAGCGTTGCCTATTCTCCTCGAACCCGGACAGGCTGGTGTTATGCATACCTCCTATGCGGGGTCTAGTGGTCAAGAAGAGCGGCCGACCAGCACTGATTCTTCCTTCGCATGTCGTTTCTGTAGTGTAGTGGTCATCACATTCGCCTAACACGCAAAAGGTCCTCGGTTCGAAACCGAGCAGAAACATGGAGTGTATCTGATGGCAAAACCATGGTTCGAAGGCTTCAGTGTTATTGCGCAACTCAAGACTGGAGCTTGCAGTTCCGTCAAGCTCCAGTGCTTTAAAGCGTCCGTCTGGGGATGTGAACGTCACTTTATGGGCACCCTTTATTCATCGGCTATGCTTTGAGCTGGGGATCAGTACGAATTCTTTGCCTGCTCGTAGTTTCTGTAGTGTAGTGGTCATCACGTTCGCCTTACACGCGAAAGGTCCTCGGTTCGAAACCGAGCAGAAACAGTGAGTGTATCTGACTGTGTTTCGAAAGCTTCAGTGTTGTTCCGAGCGCAGTTCCTGAATTGCGCACCTCAAGACTGGAGCTTGCGTTTCTGGTGATGCAGGGATTTCATTTACAGGCGCACTTTATTCTTGGGCTATACTTTGAGCTGCAGAAAAGCACAAATGCTTTGCCCGTCGATGGTTTCTGTAGTGTAGTGGTCATCACGTTCGCCTCACACGCGAAAGGTCCTCGGTTCGAAACCGAGCAGAAACACTGGCTTTTCCCTGTCCGACCATCATAAACCCGCTTTAATGCTAAAGACTACTCTGCGCTTTAGTGCTAAACACTTCAGTCTTGTGCTGCGCCTCATACTTGTGATAGTGAGAAAGTGTAGCTTGCTCTTATCCTTAGTCAAAGATAGATCGATCGAGCGAGCGAACGAACAATAAAATGATTGGGAGTTTTATGGGACAGCCCGAGCCGCTTAATGCTTTTTCAGCAAGCCCGAGTGCTTTATTGCTTCAGCACGGCGTTACAGGGTTTGTGCATGACACTCATGAGCACCCTTCATGCTTGAGCTAAGCTTTGAGCCGAGGACCAACAAAAATCCTCCACTTTTCGTCTTGATCAGTGCTGATTGCTAGTCATCTGCTCCTCGTTAGTATAGTGGACAGTATCTCCGCCTGTCAAGCGGAAGACCGGGGTTCGATTCCCCGACGGGGAGGACCTCTTTGGCGGCTCGTCCTTCCTGAGGACAACGAGTCTTTCGGATGAGGCTTGGGAAAGAGCGTTGCCTATTCTCCTCGAACCCGGACAGGCTGGTGTTATGCATACCTCCTATGCGGGGTCTAGTGGTCAAGAAGAGCGGCCGACCAGCACTGATTCTTCCTTCGCATGTCGTTTCTGTAGTGTAGTGGTCATCACATTCGCCTAACACGCGAAAGGTCCTCGGTTCGAAACCGAGCAGAAACATGGAGTGTATCTGATGGCAAAACCATGGTTCGAAGGCTTCAGTGTTATTGCGCAACTCAAGACTGGAGCTTGCAGTTCCGTCAAGCTCCAGTGCTTTAAAGCGTCCGTCTAGGGATGTGAACGTCACTTTATGGGCACCCTTTATTCATCGGCTATGCTTTGAGCTGGGGATCAGCACGAATTCTTTGCCTGCTCGTAGTTTCTGTAGTGTAGTGGTCATCACGTTCGCCTTACACGCGAAAGGTCCTCGGTTCGAAACCGAGCAGAAACAGTGAGTGTATCTGACTGTGTTTCGAAAGCTTCAGTGTTGTTCCGAGCGCAGTTCCTGAATTGCGCACCTCAAGACTGGAGCTTGCGTTTCTGGTGATGCAGGGATTTCATTTACAGGCGCGCTTTATTCTTGGGCTATACTTTGAGCTGCAGAAAAGCACAAATGCTTTGCCCGTCTATGGTTTCTGTAGTGTAGTGGTCATCACGTTCGCCTCACACGCGAAAGGTCCTCGGTTCGAAACCGAGCAGAAACACTGGCTTTTCCCTGTCCGACCATCATAAACCCGCTTTAATGCTAAAGACTACTCTGCGCTTTAGTGCTAAATACTTCAGTCTTGTGCTGCGCCTCATACTTGTGATAGTGAGAAAGTGTAGCTTGCTCTTATCCTTAGTCAAAGATAGATCGATCGATCGAGCGAGCGAACGAACAATAAAATGATTGGGAGTTTTATGGGACAGCCCGAGCCGCTTAATGCTTTTTCAGCAAGCCCGAGTGCTTTATTGCTTCAGCACGGCGTTACAGGGTTGTGCATGACACTCATGAGCACCCTTCATGCTTGAGCTAAGCTTTGAGCCAAGGACCAACAAAAATCCTCCACTTTTCGTCTTGATCAGTGCTGATTGTCATTCTCCTCGAACCCGGACAGGCTGGTGTTATGCATACCTCCTATGCGGGGTCTAGTGGTCAAGAAGAGCGGCCGACCAGCACTGATTCTTCCTTTGCATGTCGTTTCTGTAGTGTAGTGGTCATCACGTTCGCCTAACACGCGAAAGGTCCTCGGTTCGAAACCGAGCAGAAACATGGAGTGTATCTGATGGCAAAACCATGGTTCGAAGGCTTCAGTGTTATTGCGCAACTCAAGACTGAAGCTTGCAGTTCCGTCAAGCTCCAGTGCTTTAAAGCGTCCGTCTGGGGATGTGAACGTCACTTTATGGGCACCCTTTATTCATAGGCTATGCTTTGAGCTGGGGATCAGCACAAATTCTTTGCCTGCTCGTAGTTTCTGTAGTGTAGTGGTCATCACGTTCGCCTAACACGCGAAAGGTCCTCGGTTCGAAACCGAGCAGAAACATTGAGTGTATCTGATGGCAAAACCATGGTTCGAAGGCTTCAGAGTTCCTGAATTGCGCACCTCAAGACTGGAGCTTGCATTTCTGGTGATGCAGGGATTACATTTACAGGCGCACTTTATTCTTGGGCTATACTTTGAGCTGCAGAAAAGCACAAATTCTTTGCCCGTCTATGGTTTCTGTAGTGTAGTGGTCATCACGTTCGCCTCACACGCGAAAGGTCCTTGGTTCGAAACCGAGCAGAAACACTGGCTTTTCCCTGTCCGACCATCATAAACCCGCTTTAATGCTAAAGACTACTCTGCGCTTTAGTGCTAAATACTTCAGTCTTGTGCTGCGCCTCATACTTATGATAGTGAGAAAGTGTAGCTTGCTCTTATCCTTAGTCAAAGATAGATCGATCGATCGAGCAAGCGAACGAACAATAAAATGATTGGGAGTTTTATGGGACAGCCCGAGCCGCTTAATGCTTTTTCAGCAAGCCCGAGTGCTTTATTGCTTCAGCACGGCGTTACAGGGTTGTGCATGACACTCATGAGCACCCTTCATGCTTGAGCTAAACTTTGAGCCGAGGACCAACAAAAATCCTCCACTTATCGTATTGATCAGTGCTGATTGCTAGTCATCTGCTCCTCGTTAGTATAGTGGACAGTATCTCGCGCCTGTCATGTTCGATTCCCCGACGGGGAGTACCTCTTTGGCGGCTCGTCCTTCCTGAGGACAACGAGTCATTCGGATGAGGCTTGGGAAAGAGCGTTGCCTATTCTCCTCGAACCCGGACAGGCTGGTGTTATGCATACCTCCTATGCGGGGTCTAGTGGTCAAGAAGAGCGGCCGACCAGCACTGATTCTTCCTTCGCATGTCGTTTCTGTAGTGTAGTGGTCATCACATTCGCCTAACACGCGAAAGGTCCTCGGTTCGAAACCGAGCAGAAACATGGAGTGTATCTGATGGCAAAACCATGGTTCGAAGGCTTCAGTGTTATTGCGCAACTCAAGACTGGAGCTTGCAGTTCCGTCAAGCTCCAGTGCTTTAAAGCGTCCGTCTGGGGATGTGAACGTCACTTTATGGGCACCCTTTATTCATCGGCTATGCTTTGAGCTGGGGATCAGTACGAATTCTTTGCCTGCTCGTAGTTTCTGTAGTGTAGTGGTCATCACGTTCGCCTTACACGCGAAAGGTCCTCGGTTCGAAACCGAGCAGAAACAGTGAGTGTATCTGACTGTGTTTCGAAAGCTTCAGTGTTGTTCCGAGCGCAGTTCCTGAATTGCGCACCTCAAGACTGGAGCTTGCGTTTCTGGTGATGCAGGGATTTCATTTACAGGCGCACTTTATTCTTGGGCTATACTTTGAGCTGCAGAAAAGCACAAATGCTTTGCCCGTCGATGGTTTCTGTAGTGTAGTGGTCATCACGTTCGCCTCACACGCGAAAGGTCCTCGGTTCGAAACCGAGCAGAAACACTGGCTTTTCCCTGTCCGACCATCATAAACCCGCTTTAATGCTAAAGACTACTCTGCGCTTTAGTGCTAAATACTTCAGTCTTGTGCTGCGCCTCATACTTGTGATAGTGAGAAAGTGTAGCTTGCTCTTATCCTCAGTCAAAGATAGATCGATCGATCGAGCGAGCGAACGAACAATAAAATGATTGGGAGTTTTATGGGACAGCCCGAGCCGCTTAATGCTTTTTCAGCAAGCCCGAGTGCTTTATTGCTTCAGCACGGCGTTACAGGGTTGTGCATGACACTCATGAGCACCCTTCATGCTTGAGCTAAGCTTTGAGCCGAGGACCAACAAAAATCCTCCACTTTTCGTCTTGATCAGTGCTGATTGCTAGTCATCTGCTCCTCGTTAGTATAGTGGACAGTATCTCCGCCTGTCACGCGGAAGACCGGGGTTCGATTCCCCGACGGGGAGTACCTCTTTGGCGGCTCGTCCTTCCTGAGGACAACGAGTCTTTCGGATGAGGCTTGGGAAAGAGCGTTGCCTATTCTCCTCGAACCCGGACAGGCTGGTGTTATGCATACCTCCTATGCCGGTTGGACCAGGGCCTTTCTGAGTGGAGTTTGCATGTTCTCCCCGTGTCTGCGTAGGTTTCCTCCGGGTGCTCCGGTTTCCCCTACCACTAAAAATATGTACAATAGGTCTGGCATGTGCCTCCTGTACTGGCACCCCCACACAAAATCACAATTGTAAACCGCTTTGAGACTCCGATGTGCAGTGAAAAGGCGGTATATAAATAAAGATTACTACTACTACAAACATGATTCTTGCACGACTCAATCTGCAGCGTTTCACTGATTCACTGTCATCCAGTGAATCGAATATTTCTCCTGCCTCTACAGTCCACCATTTGGTCCTCTTAGGGAACTTTTAAGTTGCTAAAAGTCCACCTCTCCACTCTTAAGAGATCTCACCTCAGGAGCACTCCTAAGAACTAGGATTCTTTCGGAATAGCTTTTTTCTTAACTAGGATCTACTCCTTACTTTTAGGGGAAATTCTAAGAGTAGGTCAACATTCTAAGAAAATTCTTAGAATTTGGCCACTAGGAGCAACTTTTAGCACTAAGAATCTTTAGGAATACGGCCCCTGGAACAGAGCATTGAGCCTAGAGCAACTTTTGAACCATTCTGTAAAGCCGATTTGAAAAAATATATTGTAAGAATTCAATGGATAATTCTTTTTCCGGGTACACCACCACCGGCCAGGAGTCAGATTCACAAGCGACGTGCTCATGGACCCTTTTGAGTCAGGATCCGCCCCCACTGGTCGGAAACAAATTACTCAAAAGTTGCTCTTTGCTAGTGATGGCATTTTAAACTACAAGTTGATGAATCAGTATGTGATACTCGTGACATTGTTTTATTTTCTAATTTTTTATGTACTTGTATTGTATTCTTGTTTCCTCAACACACATTGTGGCCTATAGAGGGCGCCCCAAAGCCCACTTCGGGGATCAATGGCTTAAAACCAAAACCTTTATCTATTTATTCAATAATCACATTTAATAACCTGTGGGTGTATCTGTTGCACCTCTGAAACAGGGAGAAAAAGTTCACGAGAGTGATTCACATGTTTTCCTCATGCGTGACTTTAATGCAATCGAGTCAAGAATAACAGCATTTACATTTTCACTCTTCTCAAAACAAAGGAAATGCGGCACAAAATGGCGGAGCGCTGAAGAACGCTTAGGCAAAACGTCTCTAAGTTCAAACGCACAGAAACGAATCACAAGCTTCTAAAACACATCTTTGAACAGGAAAACGCCTCACAAAGTACACACAGACACATTAATAACAATTCTGTGCTCTTTACATGAAACAGGGAGAAAATGATCACGAATGATTTACTTGTTTTCCTCATGCGTGACTTTAATGCAATGAAGATGAACAGCGGATAATCCCTCTTGTGGCGCAAGCAGGCATGACCAGTCGGTCTAGAGTCCAAGGCCTACTAGCAGATCTAACAAATGATAATTATTGCTAAAATATGAATAATCATGAAACATTGTAACAAACTTTTAAAACTGTATTTATATTGTGCATTAGTGTTATGTAAATTATTATTTATTCTGAACGTATTATTTTTAAAATAACATTGTGAATAACCTATTACATATCGTTGTCATGGAGACGCAAGTTGTATATATTCAAACTTCTGCTTGCTCACTTCACTTGCTGTTGGTCTCTGACGCTTGTGTGGAACTGTTAACTCTCTTCGTCTCATTTGCGTTTGAGGATAAAGCGGTGGAATTAACACTGAGGCACTAATACACTGTGCGAAACCAGTTTGTGGACACTTTTCTAGGTCTGAAAACTTCTCCCAACAACACCTTGTGAAGGATGGCTCCCTCCCACGCCCCGGACTCTCTGCCCCTGTTCCCTGGAGGTAATCACTGAAATGATAATAAAACATTCATCCAATAAACCACATGATGCTACGTAAACAGTTGTGTGTAGGGTTGCCAACCGTCCCTTGAAATACGGAATTGTCCCGTATTATAGAAAAACTATGTGCGTCCCGTATTGAACTGATACGGGACGGCTTTTGTCCCGTATTTTTGGAGCCACCTTAAATGCATCACTCACTCACTGCATGTCACACGCGCGACACACGCACACACACAGTAATGATCACAGTTTAAGCATCTACCTTTCGGCCAATCAGTGTCAAAGGGGCGTAGGCTTGATCACAGATGTTGGTTTAATGTTGACAATCGCCAGCGTGGGCCGTGCCCGCAGCATCATCACGGCAGAAATTTGGTAAAGTAGCGGCATTTTCCCAGATTCGGACTTCCGTGGTCAATAGCTCATGAAAGCTGCTTTGTTAAACAAAAGTAATTGTGCTAAAATAATCATCTCTACGTTGATTATACAAATTCAATGCGCTGTTTTAATGCAGAGAAATCCTCTGAATCCAATGCACTGCAAGCGCCGAGAAAAGGACTTAGGGACCGTCAACAAATATCCAGACCAGCTTTGTAAACGAACAATAGCTTTTACTGAAGCCACAAACCTGCACAAAACTCTCAGACAATATAAATGATGATGACCATATCAAACTGCTACAGACTTTGATTTGTGAGTTTTTTTAATGAATACATGTTTTTCTTGTTTTATTTCCTTTTACAGAAATTGGTCTTTACTGTAACATTCATAAATAATGTATGTTACTGTATTTCTCTTTTTTATATATTTTGTATTACTAATAAGAATGCATTAAGTCCTTAACCCGCCAAAGAGTTCCACCTATTTATTCAGTTTCATTTTTGACTAAGGATTTGTTTTTTTTATATGTCCATCCATCCATCCATTTTCTTCCCCTTAATCCATTTCTGGGTCGGGGGGGTGGCAGTCCTTTTTTTTATATGTAGTCACCGATGTTCCCCGGGTCCGATGTTCCCCGGGTCCGATGTTCCCCCACTTCTATAGGCGGGGGAACATCGGACCCGGGGAACATCGGTACTTCGCGTATTAAAAAGTCCCGATGTTCCCCGGGTCCGATGTTCCCCCGCCAATAGAAGTGGGGGAACATCGGGACTTCAACAACGAGACTAGTCCCGCTGTTCCCCGCGTGCGCCCTTTGATGTTTGATGTTTCCTCTTCCACGAAAGATGGCATATGATCCGTGCCAACTTTTGTGAGAGAAAAAATACTAACTAGCCTAAGCCTATTTACTTTTCTTTTTCCCTCTCGCTCTTTGTGTGCTCATATTTCAGCTGATCGCAGCTTGAGTCTATGCAGGATATTTTTGGGCATGTTATGGGCATGTTATCTCCCCTTGCTCACTCTCCCATGGGCATCTATATTTGACAAGTCTGACTGAATAAAATGAGGACGATTGAAACTAGAGCTACTACATCTGTTAGCCTATAGTTTTTCCAAATACGTGGTTTTGCTGAGGGCACTGTGCTTTTACGCATAATGGGACACGCATATGACGTCGTTTTTGTTGTAAAACTTGAATATGCTCTTTTAGTTTTAGAGATATTAATACATATTATTCTATTCAGAACGCGTGCGTCATTGTGCATTGTTGTCCCGCCTTACGTGTCACTCACAGTTAAAATGTAAATAACCAATTCAAACATAGCATTTTTACAACTTGAGCTTTAAGAAAAAAATGATCAAAGGAATCAGTGTAAAATAAGATCGGAAAAGCTCAATTCATGATTGTTTAATTAGGTTTCCCATTTTTAAATACAATTGGAAACGCTCAGAATTCAAAAATATTGAAAAGTGTATTGGCTCCTACAGTGGGGGGAATAATAATAATAATATAACCCCCTGAGCGTCATCACGTTCCTACGTTGCTTCAAATATAGTCCTGTTTTGGCTGAACAATTTTGTCCAATATCATATTACACAGCGTGAAGCGAGAACAACCAGCTATTCCTCGTCTTAAAGATTGACAACGCTCTCAAAGCATTCACAACAGAGCAGCCTTTTTCATTTTAATTTTAAGAAAGTTCAGCGTGAACTTTGTGAGGTAGAGGAGCCAGAGGCCCGGGCCCGTAGGTCCCAGAGGAGGAGAGCGCGGTCAGGCCAGGCTGGCCTCGCACTGATGAGGTAAACTCTAGGCCTGTGTGAGACACACTGTGGGCCTCACTGTAGGCCTCACTGTGGGCCTCATGTGGGCCTCATGTATGAAACCTGCGTACGGCCAAATCAGGGTAAATGAGGCGTACGCAAAATATTACACTTTTCCGCATTTATCAATCTGGACGTGAGCGTACAATACGCAAAAAATAAACGCCAGGTCTGGAGGTGGTGTAAATCTATACGCTGAACTCAACCTTCGGCACAACACGCCAAAACATACGCATGAAATTCAAGATATGTACAACAATAAACATATTCCCTCTGGCAAAATTATATGCTGTGTTTTCATTGAGCATCATGTTTCAAAATTTGAATTTGCGCATCAGAAAAAGTCTAATGGAAACACGCAAACTTCGAATAAATCACAGCTCATGATGAGGACCCTCTATTAAATCTGACTTGTGTGTGTATTATTTTGATCTGTATGTTTTTAAAATGTGAAGCGCTTTGTGATCCTGGACAGTCAAAGGCTCTATATAAATACACATACCTGTACGCAACAGGGATGTGTGACCCATCTATTGCTGTGGCAGGCTCTGCGCTGCGTAATTACGCACGGCTATTTGTATTCCTCATTCACATCTGGTAAAGCAATGTGTTATTTCATTAGATTTGTGTAAGCCTCACACAGACACACACCCCAATAACGCATCGATGGTATTGCTCACTCAAACGTCTCACTGCCCTGTCCAGAGTGCGCAGCGAGTGCCGTGAGAGGTCGCGCCACATGTGCAGAAGTTTTGGCTCCAGAGTTTCTTTGTGAAATCTGGACCGCAAACGCTCTCTGAAGTGTACAGCGCCTCAATGCGCACTTCTACCCCGAGACAGGCTGCGTCCAAGACGCTGCAGACGCTTCATTCAGAGCCACCGCTGCATAATATATATGAATTAATTAATTCATTCAATCAATCTATATTTATTCA